TTGAAATCTCCCATGACTATTACCTTATAATTGTTATATTTTTGTGCTTGCGCTATCCAGGTTTCGATTTGTAAAATGACCTCTTTGTTTTCTTTTTTCCTACTGGATAAGTATATTTGTATGATACGCATTTTATTCTTTTTTGGTAGAGCTAAATTTACAGAAATTGCTCTTCCCTTGTATTTTTTGACGTTACATACATATTTGTTGAGTTCCCTCGAAAAAATTAAAGCTACTCCAGATCCAGCCCCACCTGATGACCAGTGTATTCTAAATTTGTCTTTATCATCCATGAACCATTTTTCTTTGTTTTCACTACATTTAGTTTCTGATATGCCCATTATATCTATTCTATTATTTTTAATGTAATTATAAAAAAGGTTACGCTTAACAAAATCGTTAAAGCCTCTTACATTGTGTGTTGCTAGTTTAAAAAAGGAGTTATCATTGTCTTTAATGTTAATGTTTATTTCAGTATTGTTATTGTTTATATTTTGATTATTGGTTACTATATTATTAATTTTGTTATTACGAAATATTTTTTCCCTATCTTTTGTTACGGGTACACTTGTTTCTTTATTTTTCCCCTTAAGAATATTCGAATTATTATTATCTTGATATTGGTTATTATTATTATTTATATTGTTGTTATTCATAAAAATTATATTAAATTGGGGGGAATTATTGTCTCACACTAGAGGAACCTCTACTTGAACTTGTTTCATCATTTGACTTATTGTTGTGATTATTATTATTCGCTTTTTGTTCTAACATTTCGAGTCTACCCATAATCTGTTGAACTGCGTCTAATATTCGTCTTGTTGTTGTAACCTCTTTTTCAGATGTAATTTCTTGTTTTTTATTATTATCTATTGGTTTTGCACTTTCGTCCTCTGACATTTCTTCCATTTCATCATCCACGTCGATATTTTCATAATATTGTTCTGCTTGTTGCCATACGTGTGATTCTAAATTATCTAGACGATTGGAAATTTCTAATAGTAGTTTTTCAATTCTATCTAATCTAACATTTTCA